GACCACTTCTAGCCCCCTCCACCCCAGGCCTTCACCATCCTATTGTCTGTGTCCATGGGTCACACCTCCTTTCTTGATTGCTGTGGAAAGCCAGGCCGTCACAGGTCCTCCCCTTGCCCCCACTGTCCTCCCCTTCAGCCTGTACCTCTCCTAGCCTGTACCTTTCCTGGCAGCTTATACACACAGACTTATTTCTCCCCTTTTCTCTGGCTTCCTCTCCCTCCTCTCCCATCAGTCAAGCTTCTTGAACCGGTGACCACATAGACTTTTCACACTTTCCCTCCTCAACCCCTCTGCCTTGCCGCTTCCCTCTCCGGGCTCCCCACACCAAATGAACCCCCCTCCTTGGAATGTCCACTGCTACCACCCCGAAGTGAAGCAACCTCAGCTCACGCCGCTGCGTGACTTCCGCCTGGTCACCTGCCTCCCCTCCACCTGCACACCAGCTGGGAGGACACTCGCCCCCCACATTTCCTCTTCCATCTCTTACTGGAATTTTCAGTGACTTCCTACTGCCCACCAAATAAAGTACCAATCCTTGTTCTGGCAACCAGTCTCCCACCCGCCCCCACCTTCCCCAGACCTGTCTCGAATCGTTCTTTCAGGCTTTATCTTCCTCCACTTCTCCTAGAAAACTGCACTCCGGAGGGTCTGAGCTACATTCTGTTCTCTGCCCTTTGCTTCAAGGCCCAGCAGCACCGCTTGTAACCCAACCTTCTCCGAGCCTGTTTCCTTCCCTGCGAATTGGAAATATTAGCTTGGCTGTAGGGACACGGCCAATATCCAACCATTCTAACCTACAAAATGGCATCTTCTAATGGTTCAACCTAAAATAAGACTCGAGAGCATTGAGAGTAAAGTGCATAAAGCATGAGCTTATTGCTGCACATTGACGTCCCTCAATAAATGCTGGTCCGGGGGCTTCTCACAGGTGTTACCCTGCCCCAACGATGGGCCTTGTATCCAGTGGGTACTGAGCAAATGCCCTTGGGATGGGCTCACCCCTGGCCCCTGGGCCTTTCCAACCAGCCTCTGGAGGTCACAGCTGTGCCTCTCAGCCCTGCCCCCTGGACCCAAGCCCTCTCTCTGCAGGTCTGAACCTCACGGAGAAAATCAAGAAGATCAAGATCATCTTCACTCCTACCATCTGCAAGCAGACCTGTGCCTATGGGCACTGTGCCAACAGCTGCGAGCGTGGCGACACCACCACCCTGTACAGCCAGGGCGGGCATGGGCATGACCCCAAGTCTGGCTTCCGCATCTGTGAGTCCCTTCTGCCCTTAGACGACAGTTCCTGGCTGGCCCTGTCTCCCAGGTTATTGGGGGGGGTCGAAAAAAGGCATGAAAGGGCGCTTTAAAAGGGCCAGGGCTGGTTCTTATCTCCCCTTCTTCACCCCGGGGCCTCCTGGAAAGTCCCTGCATTCCAGGTGACGCTGTGCCAATTTGGAGCATGACTGCGCCCTGCTTCTGTTGTCACCCACTGCGGCCGGGGGGGGGGGGGGGGGGGGGGGGTTGCTGCTCTGTTCTTCCACCGCCCGTCACCTTGAGGTCCATGTTATAGATTTCTGCCAGATCCCCTGCCTGAATGGAGGCCGCTGCATCGGCAGGGACGAGTGCTGGTGCCCCTCCAACTCCACCGGGAAGTTCTGCCACTTGCCCGTCCCAAAGCTGGACAGGGATCTTGTAGAGAGGGGCTCCCACCACAGGGTCCTGCTGGAGGGCCCATTGAGGCAGTCCACCTTCACCTTGCCGCTCTCCAACCAGCTGGGTGAGTGCGGGGCAGGGATGTGGGGCTGGGCATCCTGGGTTACCCGGGAGGGTGGGTGTGGGCATTGTATAGGAGGGAACAGGCCTCCAGGCCTTTCTTCACAGTCAAACCTCCCTCCTTCTCCTCCACCCTCAGGCCTCAGTTTTATTCCCTAAACTCCCCTCCCATCTGAATTCAGCAATGTAGTTGCCCTTACCCCATACTGGGTGCTATGCATGAGACAAAAGAGTATGAGGTCAAGGTCCTGCCTTCAAGGAACGCATGAACCTGGATAACAGAGGAGGGTGGACAGGAGAGAGAGAGCATTATAGAACACTTCATTTCCCCTGCCTTCCATCACTAGGTGCCAAACTAAGGTACAAAAATATAGGAGGTCAGGGATGGAGAGACCCCTAAGCCTAGGGTGTTCAGGGAAGGCTGCATGGAGGAGGTGGACTTCGGTTAGGACTTAAACACTGGGTACCTTTGGTTACTCAGAGAGGAGGGGAGGGGTCCCTCTGTGGAGGGACTGGCGCGAGCGAAGGCACGGATGTGGGACCACGCGGGCTCAGTGCGCCGGAGCTCAGGGGTGCACAGGATCATGGGGAAGGTGGAGTCAGGAAGACAGCTTAGAAGTTGATAACGAAGGTCCTTCATGGGAAGGCAAGCGTGAAGGAGTTTGTCCTTCATCCTGTCCTCCCTCACTGGGGAATTGTGCTGAGGTTTGAGTAGAGATTGAAGAAATGAGGGAGGATTGGGGGGCCATTCACGGCCAGGGGCCCGCCTGGCCCAGGGCTAGAGGATGCTCTTCAGAGGGTGGGGCTCTGTTTCCCCGACTCTGACCCCAGCCCCTGTGCCCAGCCTCTGTGAACCCCTCCTTGGTGAAGGTGCACATTCACCACCCGCCCGAGGCCTCCGTGCAGGTGCACCAGGTGGCGCGGGTGCGGGGCGAGGCCGAGGAGGCCCCGGAGGAGAACAGCGTGGAGACCAGACTTGTGCCCCGGCTCTCTGCCAGCCCTGGCCACGGCCACTGGGACAGCAACAGCATCCCCACTCGGCATGGAGAGGCCCCTCGGCCACTGCCCCCGGCGGCACCCAGGCCTCAGGGGCTGCTGGGCCGGTGTTACCTGAGCAGCATGAACGGCCAGGTGAGAAAGCCCTGGAAGCTTCCAGAACAGTGATGGCCCCTGCCCCCACTCTGCTCCTTCTCCTTCTCTCTCCTCCTCACTCTTATGGAACATAAGTGTCCGCAGAGTCTCCCAGTCCCCACGTGAGGAAACCAGGCCTACAATTGCTGAGCGCAGACCGCTGGCCTCCTACCTGGGCTCCACGAGGCACCTGTCAGTGCACGCAGAGCAGGGCGCCAGTGTCCTTGTCCCCCGAAAATCCTGGGCTCTCCTGGAGCTGAGCCCAGGGTCTCCTGGTGCCAGGACAGTAGGGCCATTAAATCTGGCAAGAGTTTGGTATTCAGCTGAGAGTGGGGTCACAGAGATGAGGAATTAGCAAATGCAGGTTAAACCCCAAAGCCTTGGGGGTACGATGATGAGGGACACCTCACACCCATCTGGAAGCGACCACAGTCAGTGATGGAAGATCCGAGGAGCTTTTCTGAGCCCAGGCACCTAAGTACAGGAGCTAAGCCAGACCCAGGAAGGTTTTTCTGGGGGTTGCAGTTTGGTGTTTCCAGAAATCCCTCCTGATTTTAGGGGACTGGAGGAGGCCGGCAGGAACCGAGGAATAGGGACTCTGAGTCCCCAGCCCTCCCTGGCCCCTCAGTTTGTGGTGTCCCTGAGCCTGGGCCATCCCCATGAGGAAGGTTGGCACCGTGGGTGGCCATGAGTTGGACAGAAGAAAGCCTACCCTTTGGGGTCCCCCACCTAAGGGCTGAGGCACGGAAGGAGGCAGTTTGCAAACCTCATAGAGAAGAGCTTATCCTGCCTAGGGTGTGCTCACCCCTCAAGTTTAGGGCCTACTGAGTGGACTGCAGGTTTGTCAGCTTCCATCTGGAACATCAGTTGACTCTTTCCTACCCTCCCGGGGGTGGGGGTACCTCCAGCAAAGTGTGGGGGGAGGGGGCACTTGTCTCAGGCTTCCCTGGGACATCTCTTTGCACATAGGGGAGGGAAGAGGTGACACATGCCATGGCCTTTTTTCCAGTGTGCCAACCCACTGCTGGAGCTGACTACCCAAGAGGACTGCTGTGGCAGTGTGGGGGCCTTCTGGGGGGTGACCCTGTGTGCCCCCTGCCCGCCCAGACCAGGTGAGTGCTGGGTGCCAGGGTCCAGGGTTGTGTGGGAAGCTCTCCCAGGGCCTGGCCTCTGTTTTACCCGCCCCCCTCTCCTACCTGGATCTCAGAAGCCAGGCGGGTAGAACACGGGGATAGACTGGGCAGCCTTTCCAGATCTGCTTCGAGGCTGCCTCTGGCTGGTGGCCAAGGCTGTTGAGGGCTCAAACAGCTCAGCCCCTCTGCCCAGGGCAGCCTGGCCTGCCCGCTCCATCTGAGTGTCTGAGAAGGTTCCTCCCTCTTGCCAGTGTTCTTGCTCGGATTTTAGGGATCCCATCCCATGCTGGGCCCTCTTCTACCCTTGCACCCCTTTCCATATACCTCCTGCCCAGATACCAGGGGCCAGAGGTCTTGATTTGGTGACTTAGTGTCTCCCTCATTCTCTCCCTGGAGGGGCCCCCGGGCCTTCTCTCACCTCCTGTTTTCTGCCTCCAGTCTTTGAATCAGGAATTGGGTGTGTCCCAGAATGTCTTCAGCCTTGGGTATGGAAAATCCAGTTCCCTGCCCTCTTTTGGATAGTGGAAAAACCTAACATATTTTTATGCATTTATTCATTCATTCACTCACTCAGCAAATACTCGCTGGGTACCCCGTGCGTGCCAAGCTCTGAGAATTCAGGAGTGAGCAAAACGCTGCTCTCACGGGCATTGATCTTGCCATCGGGAGGCTGTGTCACGGTGCCTGTGCCTTGAGCATGGCTTCTGCCCGCGCAGCCTGTCTGCCCCTCCAGGCCGAGGCCTGGTCCCGGTCCTGTCAGCAATCGACTCAGTGAGTTGGCTTTGTGGGGGGCCTGGACTGGAGCCCAAAGGTGGGAGGGGCAGGGCTGTTCTTAACTTCAGACCCGGCTTTGGAGCAGTGACCATATTTTCCTAACTAAAAATAAGTGTGACGGTCTCACCGGGTAATAGACTTTTGGTGAAGCACCAGAAGGTTATATCCAGCTCCCAGGCTTGAACACCCAGCACATACCTGGTGTCAGTCCCAGCTCTGCCTGCGGACCTCTCTCTGCTCTTTCTCTGATCTACAAAGGCAGACAGACAGACAGTCACAGTGCCGGCCTCGCAGGGCTGCCGTGGAGAGTGTAAGAGATGATGCGTGTGCTTAGTGTTCGGTCCATAAATGGTAGCTGTTAATAGTATTATTAGAAAGATCTCTCCAAAAAGGGAAAAGGAAATGGACACACTGCCTCACTGGGAAGAGTGCTGCCAGGCTACTCAGCATCTCCCCCTGCAGGCCAACGATGTTTTTGCCACTTTTCTTTTTTCCCTTGTTTTTCCTTTTCCCTTCTGGTCCAGCTGACCCTTGAGATTTCCATATCCCACATTCCACTCAGTCAACAATCAGCCAGTTTAAAGTGTGCCCTTTAAAGTGTGACCGTGGAGAATTCCACAAAAGCAGCGCCCATCCTGTCTCCAAGCCTACAGTCGAGTGGGGGAGGGGAGGAGGGGGGGCGAAGACAGGTAATGGGCATCAGAAAGAGAGAAAGAGTGCTAGTGCAGAGACTAGGCAGTGCCAGATGCAGTGGGAACGGACAGCAGAACCAGAGCCTGGTAGGTCCTGCAGCACCTTTGTGCAAATTAGAGAAAAGTCCGCCTTCCATTGGTCCAAAACAGTCTGTATAAACATACAGATCTAGGATGCCAATGATCCCTTTAATGTGGTGTTTTGTGCAGAGCACAACCTGCACATCCGTGCACTGTGGGTGTAGGAAGTCTTAGCTCAAACTGGGAAAGTGAATCAGGGAAAGCTTCTTAGAGGAGGTGACATTCAGGATGAGATCCGAAGGTTTATCAGAGAACCCAGTCAGAGACATGGGGGACTGCTTACCGAGCCGAGGAAATTGCATATGTAGGTGAGACCAAGAGAGTGAGCAACATTTCCTGGAGCGCAGCACACCCAAGGCTGTCCCCCCCCCCCCCAATCCCTGTCCCAGGTACCAACCCCCCAACCCCCACTGTGCTCAGCACACTCAGCAAGCTGGGCACCAGGTGCAGGCCCCGGAATGGCAAGCATTCTAGGACACCAACGGACATAATAACAAAGACCAGGGCAATGCGAGCATTTAAAACACATTCAAGTGCAGCTGGGCATTGTATAGAGAAGGGGCAAGAGAGGGGAGCCTTGTTTGTGTTGACAGAGTGCCACGCACCTAGCTCCGTGCCCAAGCCTGGGGCCAGGCCGGGGATGTTTCTTTAAGGAGGCATGACAAGCAAGCTACTGTGCAAGAGTGGGAGGAAGGAAAGCCAGGGGCCGGGGTGGGATTGGGAGTAGTGGACAAAACTTGTGGGTTCTAGAACATCCTCAGCCCTGGTGGCTTTGCCCCTCTGAGCCTCTATTTCTCTGATAAAATAAGGCTTTGCATCTCAGGGAGGACTGTGTCATCCTCAATGAGGCAGTCTAGCAGGATCAGGGGTCGGGGAGTGATACAGCCCGCAGCCAGGGAGCTGTGTGACTTTGTTGCTTCCCCTAAATCACCTGGCCTCTGAGGCTCTGTGCTGGACTGTGGGAAGGTCCCTGCAGAATACTATTTCTTCTTCTTCTTCTTTTTTTTAAGGAACTTCTGTAGTAATGTAGCTGTCTGTATTAAAAGTAGAGATCAGGAAGCATTTGAGATCTTGCTTCCCAGCAACTGTCGTCAGTTTGGCTCAAATGCAATCTTATGAAAATTCAAAAAAATAAAAAGTAAAAGTAAAGATCAGAGTAGCATAGTGGGAAATAGAAGAATAGGGCTAATTTAAGAAACACCTAGGAATTAAAATCAATGCCCAACGGGCATGGCTCAGTGGTTGAGCATCAACCTATGAACCAGGAGGTCATGGTTCGATTCCCAGTCAGGGCACATGCCTGAGTTGCAGGTTCGATCCCCAGTGGCGGTGGGGGCGGGGGGGGTTGTACAGGAGGCAGATGATCAATGATTCTCTCTCATCATTGATGTCAGAATGCTGCTATTTCTAACACAGAAAAAGGACTGCCTTCAAGTATCAGTTACATGGCACAGACAAATCCCCTTTCTTCCAGAAAAATTCCCCGGGGCCCTCTTTCTCAGGGGGATGACTCCGTGGATCCAGGCTAGCCTATGGTCCCCCTTCTCCCTTCACTGAGTGACAGATGCAGCTGACCCTCGTGACCCCACAGGAGTTACCAAAGGTCCCCACTCAGAACTTCTGAAGTCCCCCTGCCAGGGCCTGGAGAGCACCTGGCCCTTAAGAGCCACTGTGATTGAAGCCACATTCTTGAGTTTTCATCTAAGACAGACATCTGGGTTGACTGAGAAGCTGGCGCTGCCCCATCTGTCTTGGCACTGGCTGTGTCCACCCCAAGGCCCCTTTGCTGGGGCAGCAGGGCTGGCTCGCAGCGCGAGGTTTGCATTGGTGGCTCCAGCTGTTGGCCACGAGATCGCCTTTCCATCTGCTTGGCATGGGATGAGTTCCCCTCGGAGCCCGGGCCCCTCCCTGGGTCTCCGGGGAGAGCTGGCTCTTGCTCTGCCCCTTCAAAGGATTCTGCAGCTTTCCCTCTTCCAAACAGCCACCCTTTTCTGAACGCTCACCCTATGCGGGGCTCAGCATGATCTCATCGAATTGTTACAACCACCTGCAAGCTAAGGCTCTGTATCCCATCTGGCAGGTGAGGAAATGAAGTTCAGAGAAGGCTGGGGAACTTGTCCAAGGTCAGGCAGTCAGGACAAGTGCAGCTAGGGTTCAAACACCGCAGCGTGCCTGATTGTCAGCCGACCAAGCTCTTCTGGGGAGGCCCGGGCCTGCCTGAAGACAACAAAAATCAGGACCCCAAACCATCATTTCACAGACAGGAGGGTGCACCCCGGGATTGGTTCATGACTCATGTAGGACAACGTCCCTCAAGAAGGTTGGGGTTGGATAGACAGTGTTAACTCAAATGCACGGAGAAGTGTCGCAGGGGGAAGTGAGGAGGCTTGTTCCATGCGGCTCAGGAGGGCAAAGGCCGATGTGTGGATGTTTCTGGTAAGCAGAGCTCAACTCCAAATGGAGCGCTAGCAGCAGCGTATGAAAAACTGCAGCTGGGACTTCTGGTGCAGACAGTGGAGCAGGTAAATGCTGTGCTTGCCTCTGCCCATGACCACATCAAAATTACAACTAAACCCCGGAACAACCACTTGCAGAACCATCTGCAGACGAGTCAAACGGAACTCCTGTAACTGAGGGAATAAAGAGCTCAACTCCAAATGGAGCGCTAGCAGCAGCGTATGAAAAACTGCAGCTGGGACTTCTGGTGCAGACAGTGGAGCAGGTAAATGCCGTGCTTGCCTCCGCCCACGACCACATCAAAATTACAACTAAACCCCGGAACAACCACTTGCAGAACCATCTGAAGACGAGTCAAACGGAACTCCTCTAACTGAGGGAATAAAGAAGAAGCCACATGGAGATGGGATTTTAAAAAAAAAAACAAAACTACAACTGCCCAGCAATATAATGGGGTGTGCCCAGAAGTCCTGAGTTCCCCGCCATGAGGAGTGTGCTTACCTTAGTAAGGCTTGTAGGAGTTGGGGAAGGAAATTGATTTTTGAGGGAATGAATATATATATGAAAATTTCTTTGAAACACTCAATATAAAGAAAGCTTGGTTTTGGCTTGGTTTTGTCAGGGCCCTTGCCCACGAGGAGTGTGCCAGGCACAGTCTGTGATGCCAGCCCTGTGGGGGTGGACGCGTGAGGGTGGTTTGGGCCTGACGCCGGGTTGGAGCAGAGAAACATGGGGCCGGTCACAGCAGCAATGTCATTACCGTCACCGTTGTCGTTATTCGGAGCATCTCCTAAGGGCCAGGCTCCATACTAAGTGCTTCCTCCTGTTGTTGTTCTAACAATATCTCTAGGAGTTTCCGGTGTCACTATCTTCATTTTACAAATGAGGAAATTGAGCTTGAAACCTCAGGTCTATAGCAGCCCAGACCTCTGCTTCTAACATTACGCTCTCTAATCTGCCTCTGTCCGTGCTGCT